ACCCGAAAGTGAGTCTACTTTTACAGAAATCTGCCTTTTTCGGATAGTATCTTAAGTATTCTCATTAGAATTTATATGAACTGAGATATACATTTCATTATTATTGTTGTTTTACCTCTAAGTTTCAATAATTTCAGGAAGATAATGAATGCTACAAGAGTTAAGTGAAGTTGGATTTATTTAATTTTAGGGCAATTTACCGATATGCGTTCTCTCCGAAAATATCAAATTTCGAAATACACTTTAAAGATCTCTCTTCATAACAATGGATTCGAACAAAATTAATTACTTTATCTTTATAGAACCCTGAAATTTGTAAAACAGGTTGTCAATAGAAAATGTTATGATCTGCTCACAATTATATTTTCAAATCAACGCCAGATAAATTAATGAATTGGCTAATTAGAATTGTCAAGACCTTGAGTGTTTCAGTTTTGTATTTGAGACGACTGAGTTCAATATCACTGCACATTCCAAGACCAGCATGTTGCCTTGGTGATGGCCAAATAGAGTGGAATGTAGCCAATCAAAATGAAAGGTTGATTAGGATGAAGTTATGTATCAACACTTCGATAGGTGAATTTCTGCTAATTACTGAATAGGGATCATTCAAAGTGCGGATTAAAGAAGCACTGTATTATATTGTCAAAAAGGGCTTTTGAATGTTCATGACAGGATTTTTGGAAGAGATGGAAAGAAAGATGAAGTTAACTCAGCAGTTTTTTGAAATTATTGAGCTCAATTCACTTAGTGCGGAGATTCATTTTACACTGAGGTAATAAATGGGTTAAATCATTGATTGAGAATAAGCTGAGAAAGTTTTTCGCTTTTTAAATGTGAAACTTTAACCTCTATCTACTTCAACAGGTCGATAACTGTATTGCACCTCTAAATATACCTTTAAAAATTCGTGATTTTACCTTTTTATAATTGCCTATTATTGTTAATAAACGATACACAACAAAAAATGAACGGGAGATGGGAATGCCATCATGTTTTGATTCTATTTCTTGTGTTGCTTCTTAATGTGCTGAATATTCTAGTGGAGTTGGTAGAAATGGTTGCTTGAAGTGGGTTTTAGTAACATATCAAGAGTAATTGGAGGGAATAGGACTGTTAATTAAGTAATAGTTATCTTCATAATTGGATGAATATTTATTTCAATGTACTCACACACATCTTCATCAGATACAAGTTGTTAAATCCAAAAGAAGAGGACAATCCGTAAGCGTTATTACTAACAGAATGGAATTTCAACAATCAATTTTGCTCAATCCTTACTTATTTACATTTCAGACCACTTGGTGACCTACGTTTCCTTCGACTGTGGCATGACAACCGCGGCAGAGGGGATAGTGCATCATGGTACTGCGATTTCGTCTGCGTCATCGATCTGCAGACAAAAAATCGCTTCAACTTCATTGTTGAAAAGTGGTTTGGTGTAGATGAAGGCGATGGTCTGGTATGGCGTGGTCCTCAACTTCAATCCCTAGTTAAATTTTAGTTTTCTTTAAGCGTATTCGTTTTAGGTTGATCGTGTAATTCCAGTCGCAGGACCAATTGATAGACTTCGAGTCTATTATATATTCTCGCACAAGGTGAAGAGTGATGCAAGCGATAACCACCTCTGGGCTTCGATTTTCACACGTCCTGCTCACTCCCGATTCACTCGTGTTGAAAGAGTCGCCTGCTGTCTTTTGATTCTCTTCCTAACCATGGTCTCATCTTGCATGTTTTACAGGAATGAAGGGCCGGAAGTCGTTGATTTCGAATTCACGATTGGGCCGTTTGCCCTTACACCTTATGTGGTTAGTCTGAGTTTTCATTTTAGGAAGTATCATTCAATGCCCCCACCCTTATGACATTTGCTGCCTTGACTTTAGGCCTATACAGGAGCTGTAACGTGTCTCATAACCTTTGTTCCTGTCACACTGATCATGCTACTCTTCAGGAACTCCAAGCTTCGGGTCAGTCATACAACTCTGCTAAGGGGTGTTGTGGAAGATCATCTGGATGAAGAATTGGAAGATGACGATTATGAGAATACTATTAGGGAAAACGGACCACAACTACACCACTCGTACGTTTTGTGTTGAGAACACTCATGTCACTTGGAGCACAATTTCTAATCGCCCTTCATTGTTATCTTTTGAAAAGCGTTTCCACATTCTTAAAATAATTGTAGTTCTTGTTATATTGTGAGACTACGGTTTGCACAGGTACTGAGTGAGGCTAGAATTAATTCGAAAGTCACCATTAGACACTCGATAAATCCAGTAAAAACGATTTGTGAGTACAAATTGTCTTTATATTACTGTCGCTTAAATTTTAAAATAAGCCATCCCACAAGTAACTCCCAAGTTCCTTCCCGCATATTCACAAGAATGATGAGTAGCTTAGAGATTATCTGATGAAATAGTTCTGATCTTTGACAGTTGGTGTCCGGTCCACACTATGTATGTCCATGTTTCTAATCACAAATATTTGCATCGAACTCAAACGTCAACTTTATACAATTATATTGTTGAGGCCACAAGATTAGAGATCTTTAATTTGGGAGTTAATAAACCAAAAACAGATCCTGGAAGCTAAAACAACGCTTCGAGCATGTCTATATAAAAGAGTTTTATGAAATCATATGCAACTACACCTTTTTAGGAGAATAAGACCGTTTTAGGATAAAGATTGTGAGAACCAATTACCCAAATTTCCAAATGAGCTCATTTTGTTGATGTCGGTCTAATTTAAAATTCTGGAATTTAAATAATTGTAAAAATTAACAACATTTTTTGCACTTAAATATAATAGAGAAAATATTTTTATATTAGTGCCGGCATTGACCAACCTCGACAGTCCTATTCAGAAACACCGGAGTTGTCTGAGAAGGAAATAGAGGAAAAGGGTAAGGAATCCTTGAAAAGCAAACTTGGAGACATTTCTTTTCCTTGGCAAATGCGCATTCTCGCTTGGTTCCTCCTTATTGGAGCCATTGCAGCGTCGGTTGTCTTCACCACATTCTACGGAATCAGTTTCGGCGACGCTGCTTGCAAACAGTGGCTATCTTCTCTCTTCGTTTCCTTCTTTATGGACCTTTGCCTGACACAACCCATTAAAGTGTGTCTCTTCACTACTTTACACCTATTAGTAGACTGTATTTAGTATTGATGGATTTTAAATCCTCCTAGGTCATCCTCTTCGCAATATTCTTCGCTGTAATCTGTAGGTCGAAAGCAGACACTTCAGACATTGGAGAATTTGCAGAGGAAGATGAATCACTGATGGACANCACTGATGGACATACTGGGACGTCGATACCGACTTAATTATGGGGAGGAGTATCTACATGAGGAAATTCGTAAGTCATCATCGTCGTCGTAGTAGAAGTAGTAGTAACAGTAAAGCACTTCATCCTCCATTTTAGTTCGAGGGAGGATTGAAAACTACGTAATTAGACCTCCGGATCCAGAAACCTTGGAAAGAGCTCGAATTCATCGTCAGAAAACGCGCCAAATGTTCGATATGCTTCGCGAATTACTTTTCTTCGTCGTCTTCTTTACCCTCCTCGTTATTGTCTCAAATGGTTTCCGTGATCCCATGGCAATGAGATTGAGGGAAAGCCTCACTTCCCTCTTCTTCAATGGTGACGATTTCGTAAATGTATGATGGAATTTATCAAAATCAATAGAATTCAACACAAAGAAGCTGTAACATTTATTTATTCTTGTTTTAGATTAATTCCATTGATGGCATTTGGAATTGGCTAGAGAAGGTCCTGTTGCCGAATCTAAGAGCCGGAAAGTGGTATAATGGTATGCCACCAATAGGACAACGTGGTTTTATTGGTGACCGAATGAATCGAATTATGGGATATGCTACCATGCGCCAAGTTCGAGTTCGGGAAGGTTGGTTTTTCTAATGCCTCTAAAACATACGTGATTATATTGTACTGATTTGTCAGAAGTCGATCTGAAATTGAGTTTGTAGTCATTCGCATGAATGCAATTCCTACGTGAATATAATTGGCGAATCTTGTGTATTTTGAACTACTTAATTCTGCTCGTATTGTCTTGGTTGTCATACAGTGGAGAAAATCAGTAAAAAGGATATTTATTTCCCTTTGTTATTGTCTGCTGCTAATTTGAGTTTTTCATAACCCAAAAAATAACGCTTGCTATTGTTCATATAAGAACAAAATATTTACGCTTACAATCCGGTCAATTGAAATAGTTCAATGTTCCACTCGAGAATCCCACTGGCTGGTTGAATGGTAGTATATATAATGGAATCTGGCTCTCGTAAAGGTGTTGT